ACTGCGATTTCTGGTGCGATATTCTTTTTCTGATGCATGGAAACGAGTAAATGAGTTATGATTTTCTGAACCTTAGAGTTCAATGAAATACTCTCATCTGAACTTCATAACTCATCCAGTCGTTTACATCCATCAGAAGAAGAAAATCCAAATCGTTGGCTATCTCCACAACATAAATTTACAAGCATTCTGATACCATCAACGTTTTGCAGTTGTAATGATTTTTTTGGCATTCGTATAGGTGAACATCAATTTGAATTACTGGATATAGTTGCAGCGAAATTCCATGAAGAGCCTGGAGTATTCAAATTGTTGGTATGTGAAGATTGATCTACATGCAAGATCGAGAGGATTTTATTTCGTGTTTTTGATATTTTCGTTTTGCAGGTTATTGATTCAATTATGGCATTGTTTCGAGTTGATTTCTGTGGCAGAGGGGAGTTAGCAGACAGACAGCAAAAGCTCGCTCAGATGTTATCACGATTGCAGAAGATTTCCGAAGGTACGAAGCTTGCAATATATATGCAATTTGGAGGTTTTGACATTTTATTCAAATATTTTACGAAGACTTTTGTGTAAATAAAGTTTTTTTGGCTATACCATAACTTCATGATTTATACTATATCATGCACTCGATGTGTTTCTGTTTTTAGAGTTCAATGTTGCTGTTTTTATCACAAATCAGGTACAAAGTACCACTGGTGTTTCTCAACCTATTAAGATGACAGAAAGCCTAAACCTGAACCGCTATTCTAAATAAATAATTTTTTATATGTTTGTGATGTTGTCTCTGAGTGTGTCCACACCGGGCAAGCTGAAAAGTTTGCTTGACCGCGGTGGGAATCGAACCCGCGGCCTTTGCATGGTTTGCTAGCCATAAATAGTTATTGGATTTTGGGGAATATTCGAGGGGAAAATCGACGTATGAACTTGTATTAATATCTGAATCTTTTCGTTTTTAGATGACTGCAGATCCAGGAGGTAAGATATTTTAAACGTACACTGTTCTTTGTTTCAAAAATGCATTTTTCAAATATTCAATGTTATTAGATTTACGGAGGTTATATGTATATGTTACTTAACTGATTAACAACACAAAAACTAATTTTCTCTTTGTTTTCTGCAATGCCTCCATCATGTTGATGTTGAAAATAGCAACCATGAGGTGAGATTTCTTATTCAGTTTAGTTCAGTCTAATTCTCAGACCAATAGCATGGTTCGATAATTTAAAATTTTTATCTGTACCTCCCTAGTATACACTCCAATTATTGATTATATAAAATTTAGAAAGATTTAAACTGTTCCGTCTCATAACCTCGACTTCTTGTTGCAGTTTTCAGGCAGATCCAAAGAAACCAATTGGTGGTCATATTCTGGCACATGCCTCCACGACGCGCGTTGCATTACGGAAAGGCAGAGGAGAATTACGAATTGCAAAGATTTATGACAGGTAGCTGATAGTTATGTAGCTAAATGTAGAGTTGGGAGAACTCTCATGCAAACTCTCGCTTCTCAACTCTCATCAACTCTCATTCTCGTTTGACCAGGACGTAACGCTGAATTTTTGACTGCCGTTAACACCCTGAATTTTTCACCTCTAGTCCCGACTTACCTGAAAACGAGGCCACGTTTGCAGTAACTGCTGGAGGTATTGCGGATGGCAAAGAATAACTGGAAATATTATTATTCCACCTTAAACCCAATTGAAACAAAGTAAACTTCAATAATTCTTACAAATTTTGACATTTCAAAAAGGATGAATAATTTCATATGTTGATTGTATAGCTAATCATTCGCGGTTTTACATTTATTCCTGACGTGAATTATATCAATTATCTTCAAATAAATAATTTTAGTGTAAATGTTGCATAACAATTGAGCTTTCGTGCATTCTGATTGGCTGGTAAATAATGCTTTTCAAAGAGAATGATTCCGCAAATTTGGTTTCAAAATCGACGAAATATCGAACAAATCGTCCCCAGAAAACGAAAGAAGCACAAAATTTTGTGTTTAACTTGAAAGGTAGGATTCCTCAGTTTAATTAAACTGATATTTTGTTTTATTCCTTTAGAATTTAGACTAAAACAATTATTCGCTTCAGGCTCAGTGATTATGCACCGGGGGCCGGTTGTATAAAAGAGTGATTAAAGTTAACTATGATTAAGTGCAAACGTCATCCAATAAGAAGCGCCTATTTGAAAGTTAATCACTATTTAACTACAAAATAGTGATTAAAAAGTGATTAAGAGTTTTATACAACCGGCCCCTGGAGCCGGATTAGCGCTAAACCTGAGTTAAAATTTAACCTGCTGTTTTAGTTCATGATTTTCTGCACGTCTGTTTATTTCAAAACTTCAGGGGTCAGTTGTTCAAAGGTGGGTAAATCAGGCCTGCATAATATAGCGGACCGCAGGACCATTGGTCCCAGAAAAGTTTTGAGGTTGGCAGGAAAAAATGGAGGGTAAAACTTAAAAGTCTCAAAAGAAAAAAAAGTAAAGAGAAAGAAAGAAAGGAAAAACAGAAGGGGAGAAAATGACAAAAAAATTACATAATTGAATAATAAGCTGTAGGTAGTGAACTAGTGATGTTTGCAACATGCAAGTAATACAAGTTTCCAATATACCGGTACAGGCGGCATTCCAGCAGCCTGATATTATGGTCAAAGACAGGCAGACAGCAGTCTAGCAGATATTAAGACGAAATACTCTATGCAGTTGTTATAATTGATTTCATCTAGTGTATTAGCTACTTCTGAAAATACCACTCGAGTTATATATGAATACAACTCATTTAACAACTACAGTATGTGGATTAAAAAGTGTAAAAGTGTGGTGATTTCTTACAATGTAAAAAATCTAAGCAATATGTTCCAATACACAACACCTTCTGCCCTTGTCATGAACTTTCATCCATTAATTAAGATGATATTCACAACAAATATATTAAAATTAATAAGAATCTAGAATCTTAAACTGCAGACAGTTCCCAGTGGTCACTTTCATCATTCATTAAAATGTAAATGTTTGTTGTTAAATTAGAATATAAAGAATATTTATTCTGTAGCCATGTTGAAATACGTCTACTCTGCTGGCAGTGGTTTCGGAGCTGAGTAGAAACCACTGTGAGCAAACGAACGACTTTCTATCAAGCATGTGCAAAGATCATGTGGTGGGACGTACATCACTAATTTGACTTCATTTCCTGTAGTTTGACAGTTTGTTATCTGTACGTAAACAAGTGTGGCATAGTACTGTTTTATTTGTTGTCTGTCAGTTTTAATTGAACGGCTTTTTATTCTACATGCAGTTCACAATTTATGTATCTGTTTTAATATCGTTATTGTCAGTACTAAAATATTTTGAAATATGTGTCTCGCCCTACACCTAAAAATTGTGCATTTGAATTTCTGTTATATCTTTTTAAATTTTTGTATTTATCCAATCAATATCAATTTTTAAAATTCGGTCTGCAAACTTTATTTGTGTTACTTAAACGTTGGAGATTGTGTTAAGGTTTTCGATAAATTCCAATTTCCAAAGTTTCCAAATATAATAACATTTCCAATTACTCTTGATTTTGACAATCATTGCAATTTGTCAAAATGTCACATACGTCAAGTCAACTGATCAAAGATCGTTGCGACAGCGGTACTATTTCTGTAAAAGGTTGATTTTTGTTGCAGTGTGTAAATTTATAGTTACTCTGTTAAACTGTAATGTATAATTTCAAACATTTTATTCAATATTTTGTAAAGTTCTAATAGTATATTTATAGTGTGGTTACTAGTAGTATATTTATAGTGTGGTTACTATATTTAGAGTGTGATCGTGTTGTTTTTGTACAACTGGCTCGCATTTTACCAGCAGTACCAAGCAGTTACCCATGCGCACAACAACAAAAACTTGTCAAACTTGTTTTGCCAGTTTCTCATTTAATGTATTCGTCTGTGAGTCTGGACGGCAGCTACATGAAACGATCGTTTGTTTGCTTGCAGTGGTTTCTCAGCTGAGCTAGAAACCACTGCTAGCAAGGTAAAATATGTCTATTTTGGTTTCAAATCTAATCAAATGGTGCGTAGAATACACTGAATTTTGTCTAGTTATCAAATTTAAACCGGTGTTTGTGTGCAGAAAATTTTTTGTTGGCTTTGTGGTCCCAGAAAATAAAATATTTTATGCAGCCCTGGGTATCCGAGACGATATCATGCGTGCCATGAGACGTGGCGAGGTAACCTTGATGGTCCTTGCAGATTATTCCAAAGCATTTGACACTATCAATTTTAAATCTGTCATCCACAAGATGCATTCCATGGGGTTTTCTCAGAACTTTCTTTGTTGGATTCTGTCATATCTCATGGTTCGTTGGCAGTTTGTTCAGATTAATGATACATCTTCAAGTCAACTGGAAATAAAATTTGGTGTTCCTCAGGGATCAATTCTGGGACCTCTCATTTTCAATATTTATGTATCGGATTTGCAAGGGAAGGTTCAGTGCCGTTGTTACCAATATGCAGACGACACCACACTCCTTCAACATTCTAAACCACAGGAACAAGTGTGCAGAGGAAATGAACGAAACTATAGAAAGCTTAAATGAGTATTCGACCAACTCCAACAACAACAACTCAACAAAGACAGAATGGATGATGCTCTCTACAATGCAGATGTCGACAGTACACTCGTTAGAAGAACACTCTGCAAATATCATCTGTCGCGAGGAACCACTAGAAAAACTCTCAAGTACCCGACTCCTTGGAGTACAGTTGGATCAAAATTTATCATGGCGGGAACACATGAATCTTCTATCCTCATGTTATGTGACCTTGTCTGTGCTGAAAGCTGAAAAATTTTGTGCCGTTTCATATTCGTAAGCGGCTAGTTGAAAGCTTGGTCCTATCCAAGTTGGATTATTGTAACGTAGTATTTAGTGCTATGCCAGATTATCAACTAAAGCGTTTACAGAGGGTGCAGAACATGTGCGCAGGCTACGTACTGTCGAGGTATGCCACAGTAGCAGATCTGAAAGAACTCAGATGGTTGCCCATAAAAGAACGCTTAGAATATAGTATTGCAAAATTAGCACATAAGTTGATATATGGCTGGTATTGGACTAAGTGACCACAAATCGAAATTTATTCGACCGTTAATGCATGTCAAGAAGAGAAAAGCGAAAGTTGTGTATAGAAGGTCTGTAAAACCACATATGAAGGACGGGTTGGAAGGTGGTTAACGTCAACTGATTTCACATTTCTTGAAGCCCTCCCTGCGTGTCCTGAAAAGCTCAATGCATTCCAATCATTACTGAATTATGCAATAGAACTCTTTTTTCGTTACAGAAAAGTAAACAACATCCCAACGATAAGCCCTGGATCACCTCAGAGCTAAGATCCTTAATCCAGCAAAGGCAGCAAGCTATGGATAAAGATCCAGAGACATTCAGGAAGCTAAGAAATAAAGTTAATAGACTGAATAATCGTCTTCGAAGTTCCTTTTTTGAAAGAAAAGTGAAGAATTGTGATGATGCAGGTTCGTGGTGGAAATCCATTAAACAGCTCTCTGGCATTTCTTCAAAAAATCCTTACTGAGTGTGATCGAAGCAGATACAGAAATTAACTCCATAGAATTAGCTACCAGAATTAATAATAAGTTCTTGACCACTAATAATAGCCTACCACCACTGCCCCCCGTAGTGAATAGTGAATTGGATTATGAGACTGCGGAAGAAATTGCTCTGAAATATTGGATCTCTCCTGAAGATGTGTACAAACAGTTATCTAACTTAAAACGTGGAAAGGCTTCGGAGCCAGATAATTTACCGACATGGATTTTAAAAGACTTTGCAATGGAACTTTCGTCACCTGTAGCCCTAATCTTTAATGCTTTCATCCAAGAAAGAACAGTTCCAAATGCCTGGAAAGTAGCTGATATTATATCAATTCCTAAAATAAACCCAGTAAAGGATATTGAAAAGGACTTACGGCCCATATCATTAACAGCAGTCTTTTCAAAAACAATGGAGCGCTTTTGTTGCTAAATGGATCATGTCAGAAATTAGACAATTGATCGACCTGAATCAGTTCGGATCACTAGCTGGACTGTCAACAACGCATGCTCTCCTGTCTTTAGTTCACCATTTATACAAGGTTACTGATCAACACGACCAATGTGTTTGTGTTTTACTCTAGGACTTCAGTAAAGCATTCGACAGAATAAATCATAACATTCTGCTAACAAAGATGAAGGATATGGCCATCGACCCTACCTTGATAGAGTGGGTAAGAAGTTTCCTTACCAATAGAAGGCAACGAGTGAGGGTTGGAAATTCTACACTATCAACAAGTAAATGGTGGCATCCCACAGGGAACTGTTCTGGGCCCTATTTTGTTCATGATAATGATCAACGACCTGTTAAAGGAGTGGGAAAGCCGGTGGAAATATGTAGATGACACCACTCTTTCGGAGACGGTTGCTGTAAACGATCAATTAGTCCTGCATATATATATATATATAATTTTTTGCATTTGTAATTAGTAGGCAAAGTACTATTAATAAAGCTGTTATTATTATTATAATAATTATAACCAACTTAAAGAAGGTAGGGACAAGGTTGTACTCAATAGGGACGACCCAGCAGGATTCAGGCTCGATACCACATTTACATACAAATTACACAAGGCTACATCACTAACTCACCAGCCTGAAACAACTATGTGCACAGATTATGTCAATAAATATGCATCAGTTATCCAACCGACCTCAGGAATGTTCCTGGGCACTGCTACAACAAGTGAGAGGTGTGTAAGGGTAGTAAAGGCACAACCGGTTCATTATAAAAACCCTGCTCAACATGCAGCAGATTTAGCTATGTTGTAGATCAGTCAAGATGAACTAGCTCCTTGAGTCGATGGAGGGCCCAAACATCACTGGAAGGCCCAAACATCACGAAGGATAATTTCTTTGGACTGAAAAAAAAGAAGAAAAAGTTGCAACAGTAGTAACTACTCGACACAGTGGAGATTCCTGCCTCAATCAGGTCGAGACGCAAAATGGATGTCTTGACCTCGCTCATGGCAACTTGTTTATACTATCCACATTGACAGGTTTGAACAATTCATCTACAGGTCTTGATACTGAACAATTGTTGACAAACTTGGATACGACTATTAACATATACATTGATCGCGTAAATGGAGCACCTTATGGGTAAAGTCCTAATGCTAAGATTTGTTGTCTCTCCTGAAGGCCACCCAAAGCCAAGAAACCAGATGAATGCAATTATTTTAAGAAGATTTGGGACTTAAGGGAACAACATATGGTGAAAGGCCTACCAGACAATTACATTTTCTTTTCTGTTACCTTGCTACAAGGGTGACTGTGTTCATCCAGTATGTGTTTTGGTGTAAATAGGTAATGGGACAAGTACTGGTGTGAGACATTGTGTAACCTAAATAATTATAGGACCAGTATTCAAATTTATTGTTATTTACTTCAACTTCAATAGTATGAACTGCATATACGTGATGAATTATGGCAATAACGATTATAGGAACTGAGGAGGGGTGAATTGGTTAATTAGAAACGATAAGTCGAGAGATAAAGGAGAGAAAAGGAAAGGCAACCCTGAAAATGATGGGAAAATGATGTGCCAACTTTGGCACCAAAACATTGAACACAAGCTAAGAACATCCTAGTAACTTTTTTGAAGAGATTGTCCTATAAGGATCTCAAAACTGTAAAAACAGTAAAAATACAACAAGGCAGTGCGAAGATATAGCGATTCAAATTTAGAAAAAAATCTATCTTTAATAACAAAATGCCAGATTTTTCAGATTTTAAGCACCATATATTTGCACTGCTTTGGCGTATTTTCAATGTTTTCACAGTTTTGAGATCCTTATAGGGCAATCTCTTCAAAAAAGTTCCTAGCATGTTCTTAGGGGCCGATTACATGGAGCATTTTCAACCCCGGGGTTGAAATCAACCCTGTTTACTGGGTTGAAATTTCAGCCCTGTCTGTAATTCAAAACTCTATCAAAATCAAATGTGCGATTACATGACAAAATTTTCAACCCAGGGCTGAGTTCAACCTCGGGGTTGAAATATCA